CCGTGCCTGGAGGAGGAGGAGAGGAGCTCACACAGGTTCAGCGTCCACGGAGACATCAGTTGTCAGAGTGAAGGGTCTTCACGCATCTTTCTGCTCCAGTGACTCTCTGCCCACATGCTAGATCCTCCCGGAAAGCTTTGTAAAAATTCCCATTTCCCGGCTACCCCCAGAGATGCTGCTTTGAACCTGACGTACAAACACGGTTAGAAAACACTCGTGCATCCGATACTTGCCTTCTTTCCATGATGGGGAAACAGGTCCTGGGAGAAGATGGGACATCCCTCAGAGACACCTGCATTTGTACCCAGAGCCACCATAACAACACCCCACTACCGGGTGCCTTAAGACCCCAGAGACGCACTGCCTTGTCTGTATGTGTATGTATGTGTGAGTGTGAGTGTGAGTGTGTGTGTGTGTGAGGTGTCTGTGTGTGTCTGTATATCTGTGTATGTATGTATGTATGTGTGTGTCTGTGTCTGTGTCTGAGTGTGTGGTGTCTGTGTCTGTGTGTGTGTCTGTATGTCTGTATGTATGTGTGTGAGTGTGTGCACATCTCCTTGCTCTTGCTTCTCATAATAGCACTGGTCATGTTGGATTGAGGGCCCAACCTCCCTCAGTGTGGCATGATCTTGAGAACATGTGAGAGGCCCTATTTTCAGCAAGATCACGCTCACAGGTCTTGATGCACATTAACCTGGGAGGCAGTGGGCACCACGACCTCAGTGCACAGCCAAGACTCCAATCCAGTCTCTTACACCCCAGCCTGGGCTTGCCCCTGTACCCCGGCTGGCTCAGCCCCTCTTAGTGCTCCTCTTCCTGCTTGTGGCTTCCAGCCCCCTCCCCAGCTATCACCATCCCCAGTGCTGACTGCTCCTTTCCTGGTGGGAGGACCCTGTCTTACAGTGGCATCCCAGAGAGCACACACCATGTCCCAGACTTCTCCCTGGAGGCCAGTCCAGGACCTGGAGAGCTCCACAAAGACTAGACAGATTCAGCCACCCTGGACGGAGTGTGTGATTGCTCCTTGGTGAGGAAGTGAGGACTGCATGCACTACGGCAGCCCAGCAGAGGCCGGCTGGCCCGAGACCCCAAGGGTGGTGCTGTGTCACTCAAGCAGAGCCAATCCAGCACAGAGCTTCTTTCACAGAACACAGGACAAAGCGAAGCCTGTTGGTCCAGGCTCCACCACTTCCCTGCTGCGTGGCCTTGGATGGGTTGTTTAACCTCCCTGTGCCTCTGATACTAACAATGATAGTACTCATTTCAAAAGGTTATAGGAATTAAGTGAGATAATGTATGTAAAATATTGGTCTAACATGGAATCGATGTTCAGTAAATGTTTAGCTTTAATAAAGATAGAAGCCTACAGCAGGTCACCAGGAAAGGAGACAGGGCAGAGTACTCATAGTGCTAAAAAGGCAGCCAGGGGCTCACTAGCCATGCCCAGCATTTCCCTGGTCATGGTCAATGCTGGCAGATGAGGCCACAGCCTCTTGGGTGTGACCACCAAGCAGTGTCCACGTTTCAGCCCAGCTCTGTATCCTGGTCTTCAAGACTAAGGGAAGCTGCCCTCCAGCCTGAACCCCCAGGGACACCACTGGAACTTTGGGGGACAATGCTTTGTTACCCCTTCCCCTAATCACTAAATGCTATTAGTGCCCCCTAGTTGTGGTATCATCCCCAACCCCCACCCCCACATTTCCAAATGAGCTCAAGATGAGCGCTGCAGCCAGGGACATTGGCTGCCACTCTCTCCTTCCTCCAGGGCACCCAACCTGCCCCAGGGAGGCAGAGCCAAGCGTGTGCAATGGCCACTCTTCCTCCCAGTCCAGGGACAGCTAGTCCCAGTTGGGGTGCAGAATATGGGCTGGCCCATATCCACAGAGGACACCTCAGTGGGGCCCAGGCTCGCCCCTCTGGCTGCCCCTACCAGCTGGCTGTGCCCCCCTCTACTCGACAGGCTGTCCGAGGCTCACTCCACGGGCACCTCCGCCTTCCCTTCCCCAGCAGGGCTCACGGTCTGAGCCTCATCAAACATGCAGAGCCGCTGTTGCGCAGTGCCCCCCCTGCCCCGGAGGGAGGGAACAGAATACCCCTGCTCCTCTCCCCTCACATCCCCCCAGTTGCAGCCTGCCTTTGTTTCAGGAGGCACAAACACGGTCTGAAAACGCTACCGCAATTAAATATGCACAAGAAGGGGGGAAGGGAGGGGAAATGAGGACAATGAAGGATGTGAAACATCAGACGCAGCAGCTGCTGGTTGCCATGGAAACGCAGCTCCCCACCACCATCATCGCAGCTTCACCCCCCCACACCCACCCCACCCCACCCCACCCCCAGCTTAAAATCCCAGTCGGGCCAAGTGCTCCATTTGTCCTGGGGCTCGCCCGCCGAGAGGTGAGACCACAGGGCCCCAGCCATGCAGAGCTAGGACACCTGTGGGCTGTAGCTGTGGATGCTGGTGTCTGTCCCTCACCCCCTCGCCACCGCCTCCTGACCCTGGCACTTGTGATTGGCAGCAGCGCCTTCCAGTAGTTCTGCATTCCAGTCCCAGTTCCCTGAGAAATGACGGGAGAGCATCCGCGTTTGACTTCAGGATGTCACAACACGGAGACACGGCAGCACCTGCGGGGGCCGGCGGGGGAGCCGGGCTGTCTCGGAGCCTCCTCCTCCGCTTCCTCTCCCACCACCAGCAGCAGGCCCCAGGGTCCCGCCCGCCCCACCAGCTTCCCTTTTGTCTTCAACACTTCAGCGCTGAGTGGGGTCTGCACAGTTGTGGAGGGGCTTGCTGGAGGGAACAGGTGGAGGGAGGGAGTGTCCACAAACTCCAGGTCCCAGGGGACAGGCAGGTTGCCAGATGGCTGAGCACTCACCTGGGGACCAACGTGGACACACAGCCACTATGCAGGGGAGGTAGGCTGTGGGGGAAGACCGGGGTCTTCAGTAGACAGCGAGGAGATCCCAGGATGGGGCTCCTGCCCACTCCCACACCGGCCCTTGAAGTAATGAGTCAGTACTATCTAGCCTGGGAGTCGCCAGTCTTGGTTCTTTCCCGCCCTGAGCGATTGAGTCAGATGGTTGGAGCCCACACTCAGCAAAGCACCTAGCACACAGGAGCTCCTGTGTTGTGGGGAGGAGAAGCCAGAAGGGAGGGAAGGCGACAATTTGGAGGCTCATAGCTAAGCCAAGTTCATTTCCAAGCGAGAGGCCCGGTTGATAGAGTTACCTGAATCCATAGTTAATAACTATTATAACGAAAATCCACAGGCTGTTTAGCATAAACCGAAGCCAAGAGGCACAACAGCAGCCCTCCCCGGGGTGAGGGAGGCACCAGAAAAGTGGGTTCCAGCAGGTTCTGAAGGCAGCAAGGGAGATGTCTGTAAAAGTCAGAGCTGCCAGCTTTGGGATGGACTGCTGAGAGAGGTAGTGAGCTCCCCGACCCCAGAAATATTCAAATGAAAGGTAGAGTGTCTCTGTCAAAGACGGTGTCAAGCGTGTTGAATTTTTCAGCCCTGCAGTTCCACAGCCTCCCCTACTTGGTGGAGTGCCCAGCCCCAAGAGCCGAGACTTGGATGAGTGTGCATATGGGGGTCAGGGAACAGCACAGAATGTTCCTCACGGGAGAATGAGCCATAGTCAGAGCTCTTGTCACTGGTTCAGGTGTCACTTGGTACGTGTGTGTATGTGAGTGTATGGGTGTGTCTCTGTGTGTCTGTGTGTCTATGTGTATGTGTGAGTATGTGTGAGTGTCTCTCTGTGTGTTCTGTCTGTATGTCTGTGTATGTGTGCATGGGGGGAAGCAGACTTGTATATAACAAGATCTGAGTCACCAGGGGCAACCTGGTTCCTGACAAAAGCCGTGTCCAGTATTAGCTCATCACCCTCTACCGTGCTTCCATGGCTCTAAGTCACCGTCACCACTCTTGAGGGAAGTGACAGCCAGGGCCCTCCGTGCCTTCCTGGGAGGAGCAGCCACCCCCAGAGAGCGGGCAGAGGGACCCAGTCAGAGACTCCGTCTCGGTCTCCATGGGGCACACTGCCAGACACCTAGGGGGTCCAGAAGCTGCACACAAGCCCTTCCCAAGGCTCAGGTCCACACTTAGCTCATGGTCAAGGTTAAGACCCTGGACAGGGACATGCACTCCACCTCTGGGTGGACTCCAAGGTCGTATCGGGCAAAATGGGCACACAGCTGCCGGAGCTTCCTGCTTCCTGCTGAGGCCTACAGTGCCGGCGGGGATAAGGTCAGGCACAGTGCCCAGCCCTTCCTCTGCCTTGCACGGAGTGGGTGTCCCCGAAACACTGGCAGATTGTTCCTGGGCATTTGCATCCCCACTCCTGGTGTGGCTTAGCTCAGAAGTCAGCAGTTGTGTGCGTAAGTGATTTAAATTGAGAGAAAAGGATTCAGGCTTGTGTCTGGTTCAATGCAGCAGGAGTGCTAGGAGTCAGAAGATGGCAGATCTAGTCCCCTTGCTTGCTGTGTGACCCGTGCTGGTCACTTGGCCACCGAGCAATGAATGTGACAGAGGAAAGGAAAGAGGGTTGATATCCACTGAGTGGATGCTTGCTGTGTACCAAACACTCGATCGTTTTCTAATCCATATAGTCACCCTGTGACATATCATTTGCACCCTCTTACACAAGTAAGATTCAGAGAGGTTAAGCAACTTTCCCAAGGTCACACTGCTAGTAAGTAGAACAGCTAGATGGAGGGACTGAGATCCCAGCCTGACTCTGAATCCCAGCTTCTTTCTGTTAAACCCTGATGCATCGATACTTAAGGGAACAATTGCTAATTTCTATTTGTCATTTTGATGGTGTGTGGGAAATCCTCACCCATCAGAGAGATGGTCCCCTGCCTCTGAGGCTGCACCAAGCTCCCCTTCGTCTCTCCATTGCCTCTTCTCTCTGAGCAACAGAACAGGCCTGGGAGAAGCCAGCTGCCAGCCAGAGCTGCCCAGGCTAGGCAGTAATAGACTCTGTCCTGATTGTGTCTCCAGAAAACAGGTTTTTTATTACTTCCCACGGCGGGCTGTACATCTCGGACCTGCAGAAGGAGGACGCGCTGTCCACCTACCGCTGCATCACCAAGCACAAGTACAGCGGGGAGACCCGACAGAGCAACGGGGCCCGCCTCTCTGTGACAGGTAGGCCGGGGGGCTGGGGAGGGAGGCCACGGGCTCATCCCATCAACAATCGAGAAGTCCCCTGTGTGCTCAAGAAGGAGATGAAAGAGGCCAGCTACAGAAAGCACTGGGGGAGACCTTATCCAGTTTGGGTGGGGGGTCTGTGCTCCCCTGGAGAACCAGCACGTTTCCATCTATCCAGCAGTGGGGGTGTGCAGCCCACCCTCCTGTTCCTTTCCTTGCCTTCCCCGTCAGGAAGCTCATAGACAAAATCGATGTTCGCAGGGACTGTTCACCTACAAGTCAGGGCGTTTGCATCTCCTGCGGTCTGAGTTTCTGCACAATTCTATTTTACCCCTGAGTACATGTGTCTCTCCAGTTGTAGGCCACCTCCTGACATTGCAGAGCAGGCAGATTATAATGTTTTAAGATTTATTCTGTTTATTTGAAACGCAGAGTTACAGAAGGATGGGGGGAGAGACAGAGAAAGCCAGAGAGAACTTGCGCCCTCTGGTTCATCCCCCAAATGGTCCCAATGGCCCAGGCTGGGCCAGGGCCAAACACAGGAGTCAGGAACTCCATCTGACTCCACTTCAGATTCAGCTTTCTGCTAAAATGCCTGGGAAAGCAGCGGAGGATGGCACAGGTACTTGGGCCCCCGCACCCACATAAGAGACCCGGATGAAGCTCCAGGTTCCTGGCTTCAGCCTGACCCAGCCCTGTCCATTGCTGCCGTCTGGGGAGTGAACCAGTAGATGGAAGATCTTTGTGTGTGTGTCTCCCTCTGTCTGTAACTCTGCCTCTTAAGTAAATAAATAAATAAATCTTGAAAAAATCGAAGAAGAAAGTGGAGCAGCCAGGATGCAAACCAGGGCTTATATGGGATGCCGGCATTGTGGGCGGTGGTTTGACCCGCTGTGCCACAGCACCAGCCCTGAAGAATATAACTGTAAACAGTTCATTTCTGAAGGGCTATTATTGTAGCTTCCTGGGAGGGATGGAAGCTGGTATTTGCTGGGTGGCCTTGTGGACCTCGGAGTTCCCTCATTGGCTGGCTGCTAGGCGCCGTGGCAGCCCTGTGAGGTGCTGTTCTCCCTAATTGAACAGGTGAGAAAACCACAGCTTGTGGAAACCAAGCGACTTGCAGGGGAGACACAGCGGCCAGAATGCAAACTCTGGGCCCCTTGGCCCTGGGCTCCTCCTAGCCACAGCCCTCCCCACCCCACGGCGCTGGCTGGGTGCCCACCCCAAGCCGTAATCCCAGAGAGGAAAAGCAGGCATGCGGCTCCCCTCCAGCTTCCTGGTCTCCAAACCTTTTTTGATAGCAATCCCCAAGCAGACGACTGTATTATAACCCGGGCAACACACACTGATATTTCTGTTCTGTTTTACCTTATTTTCATTTTCCCAAATGCTGATCTCAACTTCCCAAAGGGGTTTTACCACCTCCTAATGGATCACAGCCTGCAGGTTGCAAATCTGAGATGGGAGTGCTTTTGGAAGCAGGATGATCTAATAGTGAGAACAGGGGGCTTCGGGGATGAGACCCCTCCCCCCGTCATCACACAGGGCACCCCCCCCCCCCCGGCCAGGCCTCTGGGATAGGAGCTGGTCTGAGTGCCTGCCCTGGATCCTGTCTGCCCCTGGCATTCTGTGGTTTGGTGAGAGCCACCCCAGTGTCACTCTCTCAGGGGCCTCCTTTGCCTTACACATTCGGAGGCAAAAAACAGGACAGCAGGAGCTGGGAGGACAAGGACCGTGCTCCCCGACTCACTCCATGTCTTCCGCGCCTGGCACACAGTTGGCGCTAAGTAAATATTTACGGCATTATCGAGGCCAAGGGAAACCGCTGTCACATGCGGAGACATCGGGCTGCCCTGTGCGGGCGCTGTCTTTGTGACTTAGCTTTGGAATCTGCAGTCCCGTTCCCAAATGTGCTGGGACTTGTTTAGAGGCTGTTTTGCATCTTATTTGCATGCTTCTCCCACAATGTGGGAAGGGCGCCGAGACCCCGCCTTCTGCAGAGCTGCTCCATCTCCCCACCCCCACCCCAGCGACAGGCCAACCCCTCCATTCTCTAACCACTCAGGCCGACCTCCAGCTTCCAGGGGGAATTTCAGGGGAGTTCCTCAAAAAAAGACATTTGTAAAAACAATGTTAACCAATACATAAAAATTGCATGTATTTATGGAGTACCAGGTGATGTTTCAATGCACGTATATCCATCCACGTTGTTTACATCAGGGTAAGCGAGCTCTCTCCTCAAACAGCCAGCATTTCTTTAAGTCCTGCCTTCTAGCTTTTAAAAAAAAAATAAATGTACAATCTCATTAACTATAGTCACTCTACTATACAAGTCTTCCTCCTGTCCAACTGTAACAAAAAGGCATCCTTTTAAAATTTATGTATGTATGTATTTGAGAGGTGGAGAGACAGAGACAACAAGCTGATTCTCCCAAAAGGGAGCTGGGGGCTTAATCTGGGTCTCCCAGATGGCGGCAGGACCCCGAGTACCTGAGCCATCCCCACTGCCTCCCGAGGTCCACATTCACAGGAAACTGGAGTTGGGAGTGGAACCCAGATGCTCTGGTATGGGCTGTGGGCATCTCAAGGGCTTGGTTCAATGCCCACCCCTAGAGCACGATTCTCAAAACTGGAGAACCTGCCACCCTTCCCTTCCTTTCCAGCCCCCAGCAGCTGTGAGGAAAAGGGCCAGTGGAGGAGAGTGGGAGGAACCGGCACCAGCTAAAGCCCCATCTGAGAAATGGGAGTGAGGCTGGAATGTACCCTGAGGGATGGGAGGAGAGAGGCAGAGAGACACAGGAGGGGAAAACAGAACCGAGAGACAAAGGAAGACCTAGGAGAAGGGAGGAGGAGGGAGCCCTGGGGACAGAACGGAGGGAGGCGGGGCGAGGGGAGGGAGGCGTGCAGTGACGCGGGCCCTGATGTGATGTGATGTGATGTGGCAAGGCTGCTTGTCGGCAAGCTGCTTGTCTCGGCAAAAATGCAACTGATACCAGAGAGGCAGTGCAGAAGGGAATTGTGGTGGGGAGCCAGCGCCCCAGGCTCCCCGCCCCACCCTCCCCACGGTGTGGGTCAGCATCCCCTGAGATGCCCCAGGGTCTAGTAGCCAGGGCCATAGGGGCTGTGGGTACCCCAGCTCACTAGGGAGAGGGGTGGGTGAGATGATGCTTGGGACCATGTGTTGGAGATGGTGGTGGCAGGAGCCACCCTGTGCTCACGTCTTCAGTGCCCACTTAGTGCTAGCTACGGTGGGAGCAGGGCGGCAGGGAGTTGGTGATGGGACACACTGTTAAAGAGTGTTTAGGAATCTGGCCGGAGCTTCTGTCAGCCTCACCGCTTCCTGGCTGTGCAACCTGGCATCGAAGGAAAAGCTTCTGGATCTGTTAAAGTGGGAGCGACAAAATGGAGTGAAAACAAAACCTGATTCTGTAGATAAAAAGCACAGCTGGTTCAGACCTGCAGGGAGCCCCGGACAGGCAGCTGCTGCCCTTGCTGCCGGAGCGGTCTTTACCGCTGTTTGGCGGCTGCTGGGCTATAACGATGATCCCTTCCACATTTCCAAAGAGGGTGGGGAGGCCGTTTTCAATTTTCCCATGTTTTCTAAGTGAGAAGAGGCAGTTGCAAGAGTAATTGGAACCCCCCACCACCCAAATTCAAGCCCATCGTAAGGATTCTCTACATACAGTGCCTGTGAGTTTACCTAGCACTTACTGCAGGCTCAGGCCACGCCCGCACCCCCACCCACCACCCCATTCCCAAGAACAGAGTCAGGTGCAGAAGCTCTGTCCTAAGCCCTGGGTGCCTTGGACCTGCGGCCCGGCCCAGCCCTGCCCCAGGGCACAACCCTCGGCGACTCCTCAGGCGGGGCCATCTGTCTCCCCCAGCCCCACGCCAGCGCTGGCAGCACCCAGTCCCCCGGGGCTGTGCCGTGTACACGCCACAGCGTTTTACTTCTGCTCACAGTAATGAAAGAGGTTTCTCTCCCTCAGAATTTAATTTCACGCCTGAGCCTCGGTGATTAATTCCCTCCCCCCGCCCCTTCCTCCAGCCGCCCCTCGCTTGTAAATTCTGCGGAGTGCCACAGAATTTGTGTATTTTGCATCAATTAAGTGTCACATTGAGTAATTCTTCCCTGGCACCAGGTTTTTGTTCATCCCAGCCTTTCCCGTCGGGCTGGGCGCTGAGGGAAGAGGCCACAGAGTCGGAGAGGGACGAAGTGATTGCCCTGCACATCTCCCTCTCGAGGAAGCTTCTGGAAAGCGCTGTGACCCACATTTCGCCCTGAGTTGCCCACAACAGCCTCGTGAGACCTGGAGGCCGTGTTATCACTGCCGCCACACGCCTGGGTCTGAGAGGTCACTAGACTCGTCCAAGGTCACCTGGCTTTCAGTGACGAAGCAGAACCCCGGCTCCTTCTCCACCCACAACCACCTCCTGAAGAGCCCCCCCGGGGGTGGGCAGAGAATGTTCTTGAAGGTCTTTCCCCTGGAGGGAAGCTCCACAACCCAGCCCTCTCGAGGGCAGACAAGCAGAGGCACAGGAAGTGCCCACGAGTGATAAAAAGAGCCCATGGGTCAGGAGGCCCCCTCCATTCACTCCCAGGCCAAGTTGAGGATTTCAGATGATTCCACCTCGGATCCTACTTCCTAAACAAGCAGGCTTCTGATCTTAGCTATGCCCCGTGATCCTGGGCAGGCCCCTGGCCCCTCTCTGATCTTGGCAGCCTGCTTTGCTGCCCTCCAGGGTGGTCTTGAAGCCAGGTCTTCAAGTTCTGCCATGTGGGTTTTACCCAGAAAAATCAGGCCACAGGCCCACCCCATGCCCTCGGCTGCTGAGGGTTCACCAGCCCTGGCCAGGCCCAGGAGGTACAGCCCTGGCTGCACACTGCCTCAAGGGCCCGCTGTGTCGGGACAGAGGGACACATGGCTTGCACTGACTGCTGCTGGGTAGTGGGACAGGGAGGCAATAGGCTGGCTGGCGGCAGGGGTGTAGGGACACACCCTCTCCCTGCAGGTTCTTCTAGACTTTCTAAAGCTTTGCCATGTGCTCATGGTCCCTGTTCAAAAAGAAAAAAAAAAAAAAGCCCTTTAAACACTTTCCTTTAAACCAGGGGAGGGATGCCGCTTGGATGGTTGGAAATAGAATGAGAGGAGCTGTGGGAGGCAAAGGTGGCCGGGGGGCACCCAGAGGTGGGGACGCTGACAATGGTCAGTGAACGCTGAATGGGAGCTGATCGCCTGCTGTGGGCGGACCCTGTGCTCCATGGTGGAGGCCTGCAGATGTGGGGGTGGGACTGAGAGAGGCTGGGCAGGCCCGGAGTGCTCAGGCCAGATCCCAGCAGCCCTGGAATCAGGTCCTATTGCATGCAGGTAAAGGGGGCCTGTGGAAGTTTAAAAGTTGGGGGAGGTCTCCCAGGAGCAGAAAAGCCAGGGACAGGGAGGCTGAAGAGGGAGAGCAAGACTGGACAGCAGCCGGGACATCCTCCCAGAAATGGCACAGCGGGGTTAAGCAGCCACCGGCATCTCGTATCGCAGCCCCACTGTGAGTCCCAGCTGCTCCCCTTCTGATCTAGTCCCTGCTGGGAAAGCAGTAGAAGATGACCCAGGTACATGGGCCCCTGCCACCCATGTGAGAGACCCAGATGGAATTCCAGGCTCCTGGCTTCAACCTGACCCAAACTCAACCATTGCAGCCTTTCAGGGAGTGAACTAGCAGATAGACAATGCCTTTCTCTCCTTCCCTCTCTTCCTTTCTCCCTCTCTCCCTCCCTTTCTTTCTATCACTCTACTTTTCAAATAAATAAAAATAAATGGCATGGGTACCACACACGGGAACTGATCTCCAAGGGGCCGTGGTCTCCCGTAGTTTGGGGCCTGGGGTCTCAGGGCCACTGGTTTGGGAATGCAGAACAGTGTGAGGAGTGCGGGGCGGGGGCGGGGTCTGCAGAAGGGAAAAGCCTGAGTGCCTGAGCCCTTCTAGTGGAAGTGCTGTGGCCTCTGAGCCTGTCCAGGGCACCCACAGGGGAAGACAGGGTAAGGGCAGGGGGACAGGGGCTCTTCCAGCCCAGGGTGAAGCCCAGACAGAGCCTGATCAAGAACTGTGAACCTGGACGTCAGGATTCTCCTGGCCATCCCGGCTCCTGGCTGGCCAGACTGCAGGGACTCTGTGTTTAGACAGCTCTCACGCCCACCCCTCCCTCTCTGCCCCATCTTCTGTTTCTTCCTCTTCCATCTCCCCGTCTATCATTCTAGCCTGAATGCCAACACGTTCTCTGCCCCTCCTGGCCCCTGCTACTAAATGTGGTCCTCAGGGACTCTGCATGGCCTCAGTGCAGGAGACAGAGCCCCCCACCACCCCAACACTCACTTGGAGCCACGCCGAGACCCGCTCCCTGCAGGCACCAGTGGGCAGCAGGCTTCTGTCACCCTTCCTGCCCCAGCCCCAGCTTGACCCACCTGGGGCCTGGCCAAGGGCTGCCAACACTCTCTGTCTTCCAGACCCTGCCGAGTCCATCCCCACCATCCTGGACGGCTTCCACTCCCAAGAAGTGTGGGCCGGCCACACCGTGGAGCTGCCCTGTGCTGCCTCGGGCTACCCCATCCCTGCCATCCGCTGGCTCAAGGACGGCCGGCCACTCCCAGCCGACAGCCGCTGGACCAAGCGCATCACCGGGCTGACCATCAATGACCTGCGGACCGAGGACAGTGGCACTTACATCTGTGAGGTCACCAATACCTTTGGTTCGGCAGAGGCTACAGGCGTCCTTACAGTCATCGGTGAGTAGGGAGAACCTCGTAGGCAGTCCCAGGAACATTTGAGGGGCCCGAAATGTGGACTGGGAGGGCTGGGCTGGCAGCCGCACCTGCTCCGGGGATTATCCAGGCTGTGGACGGTAGCTGGGTGCTCTGGCAATGCCCCTGGTCCTGCCCATGGCCACCAGCTCAGTGTCCTCTGTGAAAGGGGACAGTGATCCCAGCCGGAGGTCACTAGGGTTAACTGGGACGACGAGGGTGGTGCTAGGAGCTCACTTTGGGGCAAGGCTTCTTGGCTGGCTGGGGGAGGCGGTGTCTGCAGTCGGGGAAGCAGTGCTGATGCGAATCCTTTCGACAAGACATATGGCCCCATCCTAGCATGACATTCAGACCACGTAACGATGATTGGTGGAGGCAGTGACCCATCGGATCAGACACGGGCTATAAACAACGCAGTCAGCCTCCCTCTCTGTATCAGCCGGGCCTCGGCTCTGCCCTTTCCTGTTCCTCCCCTCCCCCCCAGCACAGAGCCCCAGGGGCCAGGGAGCCCCCAGGCGGGCAAAGAAGCCTAGATGAGAACTGGAGAGACCCGGGGTCACCCCTCGGCCCACTCACCCCCACCTCTTCGTGCAGAACCCGACCTCAGGTTCCCCCCACCTGGAGAATGAAGCAGCTCCCTCCAGCTCTGGCACCCGGACTTCCCTGCTCTCTGGGCTGCAGTGGGGCTGACAGTGGAGGCGCCTGGGGAATCCCACGCCTCACAGGGGCAGCAGTAGCCTGAGCCCCTGAACGTGGCATCTGACAGTGTCGTGAGGGTCACTCTTTCCGGGGCAGCAGCAGGAAGCCACCCAGCAGGAGGATCACCGTGCCTTGAAGCTTGGCCTAGGCAGCTCTGTCCCAGCTCGCCACCCATCTCATCAGCTAGGAGCTGCAGGCCTGCAGCCCCTGGGGAGGCCCAGAGACCCACAGCAGTGGCTGCCCGGGGCCTCCCAGGCCTGGTGTCTGATCGCTGAGCCCAGTCTGGGCCCAGTGTCCTCCCCCGGGTCAAGGAGGTCTGCACAATTGCCCGTGTTTCTCCACAGTGCCAGGCAGAGGGCCTCCGCACCCCAAGTCACCAGAAACCTGGAAGAGTGAGTGAGCTCCAAGAAATGCCGTGAGGTGGCCAAGCACGACTCAGATGCCCAGTAAATGCTGAGGGCCCTACCTCGGGGGCTGGGGCACACCTGCCTCGGGTCTGAGCAAACTCTGGGCAGCACAGTAGGCTCCCTTCTTGCCCTAAGCACCGTCTGGAAAAGTTCAGTCTAACATTTCTGTCTCCTCCTTGCCCACCCTCCTACACACACACACACACACACACATACACAGGCTCAGGAAATGGGTCAGGAGGGTGCATACCTCCAAATCCTTGGAAACTTGCAAACCTGACTCCAGGTAAATGCAGTGTCCACAGCTCCTGCCCCTGTGCCTGCAGGCAGGCCGACACATACACGTGCGTGCACACACACACACACACATATGCCAAAAATGCACATGCCTATGTCCCTCCACACACACACGCACACATCTGTGGTGCCCATACACATGTACAGGTTGGTCCCTTCACCGTATCCGAGTATACTCCCACAGGTGTGCAATAAGTAACCACCTCCAGATGTGTGCACACCCACACTGCCCCTGTACATGGAGGTCCTTGATTCTCCTCCACTCCTCAGCGCCCCAGCCCACAGCGGGCTCAGCTGGATGGGCAGGTTCAAGGGAAAGCAAATAGCTGTTCTCTGTCTCCCAGCCTCACCCGCAGCCCTTCTGCCAGGCTCATGGGAAGAAAAGCCTTGCTTCTCCATATTCCACACCCACCCCCATTTTGCCACCAAGCCCATGCAGAGGCTGCAAGGAGACAGAGACAGAGGCTGGCAGAGCCCTGGGATCGCTGGCTGGTGACCGGGATAAGCAGGAAGCCACCTGCCTCTTTGTACACTGACGTTTCCTGGGCACTGGACAGAGGCTCTGGGGGAGCAGACAGGGAGAGCCGAGGGTGAAGTCATGTCTGCTTTGGCTGCACCCAACCCACGTGGGCCTGCAGTCTCCCCCTCTCCTGCAGGCTGCCTCCTTGGGGTCCTGAGCTCCCAGAACAGGAGTCCCCTGTACAGAGCCCTCAGCCCATGGAGAACAGGGAGAGAGGCCAGCTCAGGGCAGTTAACAATCACCATCAATAAACTTGGCTTGGGTCCTGGTAGTGACATAAAACTGAGAGATGTCACCCTGCTTTCAAGCAGCTCCAAGTCCAGAGGGAGACACACAAAAGAGGTGATGAAAAGACAGTGTGGTCAGGGCAGGACTAGCTGTGCACAGTAGGGCTGGAGGACGGATCCCTAACTCAGCTGGCTGGAAGGCAGAGTGGTGTCCAGGAAGACTTCTTGGAGGAGGTGACCTGGGAGGTCGGTGTGAAGGATGAGTAGGGGTTAGGCAGAGGCCCTGGAGCCGGAAGCAGCCCAGGGCAGGCAGGCAGGTCCCTGACGCTCCAGACTGTGGGCTTGGGTGACAGCAGAAGGGGAGCCATGTCCCAGAGGCCTTGAGTGCCACACGGAGTTGTTGGTGCTGCTGCATCTGGGGGCAGGAAAGTGGCCGCAGGGCAGAGGACAGGAGTGGGGGAAGCAGGGGAGGCTGCAGAACCCAGGCCTTTTATGGCCACTGCCTCCCCACCCCCACCCACACACGTACCCTCTCCCCGCAGTAAGTTCTGTTTCTCTCCCCCACTCTGCCCAGAGCCGCTTCACGTGACCCTGACACCAAAGAAGCTGAAGACCGGCATCGGCAGCACGGTCATCCTGTCCTGCTCGCTCAGCGGCTCGCCGGAGTTCGCCATCCGCTGGTACCGCAACACGGAGCTGGTGCTGCCGGACGAGGCCATCTCCATCCGCGGGCTCGGCAACGAGACCCTGCTCATCGCCTCGGCCCAGAAGAGCCACTCTGGGGCCTACCAGTGCTTCGCCACCCGCAAGGCCCAGACCGCCCAGGACTTCGCCATCATCGTGCTGGAGGGTAGGCGGGGACAGCGGGACTCCAGGCGGAGGGCGGGGCAGGGCGGGGCGGGGTCACCCGATCCCAGCTGTCTGCTGCCACCTCCTAGCGGGGAAGCCCCGTGGCAGCTGGGCCGGCGCTCCCTGCTCTCCAGGCAGGTGCACAATCTCCCTGGCTCCTCCGTGTGCAGTGCCTTTGCTGTTTTGTGACCTGTTTCACAGTTGAGGGAACTGTGGCGACCATCACTTGGCCAAGATCCCAGGGGTCTGATCAAGCCTCTTCACCTTCCCAGTGCATTGCCTCGGCTCACCCACATACCTAGAACCTCACCACTAAAGGGGACTTGGGGTGGGAAAGGTTTTTGGTCTCCCAGAGCCCAGAGTGCCAGGAGGCTCTGAGCGTTGGATCTTCGCAGGAGGCTCTGGTTGTTACCAGGGGCCCGGGTTTCCACCTGCTTCTCTTTCCCTTTAAAGCTGCACCACGCAGGGTTCCTCGCCCAGCACCTCTGTGTAGAGTCGTTCAGGCTGTTTGCTGCACAAGTTGCCCAGGCAGGAGGAGGGTGAGAATGAAAGTCCAGCCTGCCGGGCTGCCATCACCCCGGGGGCAGCTCCTCGCCCTCATTTGCTCAGAGGTGCAGTGGGTGCTGGCAGAAGCCCCACCCTTCCCAGCAAGTTCCCTGATTCTCTCTTTAAAAAAAACTTATTTTAAAAATATTTATTTATCTATTTATTTGAAAGGCAGAGTTATAGAGGAGCAGAGGCAGAAAGAGGAGAGAAAGAGAGAGGTCTTCCATCTGCTGGTTCACTCCCCAAATAGCCAGAATAGCTGGCGCTGTGCCAATCTGAAGCCAGGAGCCTCCTCGCAGTTTCCCATGCGGGTGTAGGGGCCCAAGCACTTGAGCCATCTTCTGCTGCTTTCCCAGGCCATAGCAGAGAGCTGGATCGGAAGTGGAGCAGCCAAGACTCGAACCAGCGCCCATATGGGATGCCAGCACAACAGGTGGCAGCTTTACCTGCTACACCACAGCGCCAGCTCCCCAAGCTCTTTCTTTAGAGCTGTCTTACACATACCCCCCAACCCCGGAAAAATCCACAATCCTGTTCCTTCCAAGAACTTTTCACTCTTGCAACAAAAAGGTCCCTCTGTCCAGCCCGTGGTTCCTCAGGGGACTGAGCCCTCCTTGTGCTGTATCCCCGGTCTCTCTGCCCAGCAAGCCGGTGCACCAGCCCAGCATGCACTCCTCTTATCCCAGGAGGCCCCAGTCAGCCCTTCCCCAGCCTTCACCCACCTGTCCTTGGTGGAATGACCGAGACCTTGGAGGATGGGCGGCATTGACTGGCACATGGGAATGAGCCCGATGACAGGGACTGAGAGTGGGGAAGGGGAGGGAAGCAGAGGAGGGGCTGGGACCACGTGACCCCAAGGGCCCTCCCGGGTTCTGTCAAGCTCCAGACTCTGCTGGGCTTTGTCCCTGAGAGATGGAGAAACAGCAGAGTCTTGGGTAGTGTGAGTGCAGGTGGACTGTGAGGAGCACCATATTACACAGGGGTCACTTTCTTTTCTTTGTGACTTCTTAAAGTGCCTGATGCCCATTTTTAATCCTTTGCAAGGATCTTATGCGGGCTGGCCAGGACTGGTAATTACATCACCACATCCCACATGAGGAAGCTGGGCAAGGAGGTTAATTGTCTTGCCCAAGATTATTCTGTTAACCAAGACTCAAGGCCCAGCCCTAGGCTCCCCACCTCTGCCTTTGGGTGTGTCTGGACAATTTGCTTTTTTATTATGATTATTCTTTGAAAGGCTGAGACAGAGACAGAGGTGTCCCATCCACTATTTCACTCCCCAAATGCCTACAATACCACTGACTGGGCCAGGCTGAGGCCAGGAATCCATGACTCAATCTGGGTTGCTCACAGGTGGCAGGGAGCCAATGACTTGAGCCATATGCTGCCACTTCCCAAGGTGCACATTAGCAGGAAGCTGGAGTCGGGAGCAGCTCAGGGACTTGAACCGAGACACAACAATATGGGATGCAAGTGTCTTAATTGTTGCTCCCAATGCTGGCCTCTGAAACTTGCATTTTAATGCCTTAAACTTAAGGTGTTTTGCTAACAGGGCTCCAACACCCACCCTTTCCTACTGGCATGATCACTTCCAGAGAGACTGGGACCACTCCGCAGGGCCCTGCTGCTCCACTTGTAGGGAACCTCCAGAAGTTCACGGACAGGTGGAATTAAAAGATTTATTTTGGTGCAAAATTTCTTGAAATCATAAACACAAGGGGTCATCAAAAAGTTCATGGAAGACATTATTTAAAAACTATGCATAGTCTCTTAAAAAAATTGCACCAAAATAATGTTATCATTTAATTAGATTTTTCCACAAACTTTTGAAGTTCCCTTATGGGTCTGCCCAAGTCATTTCTGAGCCTCTGTGTCTTTACTCATTTAGGGAGGAGACAGAGGTGGAAAAGGAACTGTGGAGAGGCACTAACGTTTATTAAGTCCCTATAAGTGCCACACTGAGCCTCTGAAATGCATTGATTCACTCCATCCCCACAATAAGCATTGGTGAGTGTAGTTAGTATCCCCCTCCTCTGCCTGCAGCCGCCGTGGAGGCAGGGAGAGGCTAAATCACTCGCCCAAGATTCGGCGCTAAGGGCAGATCCCAAGGCTGGAGTCTCCTGTGGACAGTAGTAACCTGGGCCTGTGGGTTGCAAAGGAAAGGTTGCACGTGATACTTCTTCGCTGTTAATGGCGGCTGTCTCCCTGCTCCCCCTCCCGGGTGGGTGGCCCAGTGGGACGGTGTCTCCATGGCTCGGTGACCCTGAAGGGGGCTCCTCGCTCCCTGCAGACGGCACGCCCCGCATCATCTCGTCCTTCAGTGAGAAGGTGGTCAACCCCGGGGAGCAGTTCTCGCTGATGTGTGCGGCCAAGGGCGCCCCGCCCCCCACCGTCACCTGGGCCCTGGACGACGAGCCCATTGTGCGGGACGGAAGCCACCGCACCAACCAGTACACCATGTCGGACGGCACCACCATCAGCCACATGAACGTCACGGGCCCCCAGATCCGCGACGGGGGCGTGTACCGGTGCGCAGCGCGGAACTCGGTGGGCAGTGCTGAATATCAGGCGCGAATAAACGTAAGAGGTGCCTGTCTACATTTAAATATCAGAATAGGCTTTTGAGTTCCTTTGCCATCTCTGTGGTTCCCATTATTCTTGTGGTGCTTAGTACTTACGATTGGTCGTCATTTTGATTTTAGTAGAGGTCTCTCTGCTCTCTCGCACCCCCTTTTCCCTGCCCACCACAAGCCCCATCTTCTGTTCTCATGTGTGAGTGTCTGGTACAGTCACCCCATTCCCATTCCAACCCCTCCAACCCCCCTTCTCCTCTCCCGAATCCCACATGCCCCACCAACACCTCCTACTCATCCAGTCTCTCGGGGCCCCAGGAATGCTAAGCACCTGCTCACTTCTGCCAGTCCCACCAGGGCCTTGCAATCACAAGGACAGCACGGGACAGGGGAGCCAGGCTTGATCTGTAACACAGGTGCCCATGAAAGCTGCGTTCCCAGTGTTCCCCCAACCCTGCACTGAGCCAACCCACCTGCTCCAGGGAGTGTAAGCAGCCGGGAGCCAGGGCCTCATCTTCTCCCCAAAGGCTCAAACCATCAAGAGCAGGAGGCTGAGGTTGGATGAAGGCAGGTAGCCTCTGGGAGTGGGGGAAAGGGTGACCGTCTCCACAGCCCTGTGGCGAGAGCTGAGTTCCCAAAGGTCTTTGCATCCCTGCGGGGTTCCGCTCATTCCTCATCTGGCCCTACCAGGGACCCCTGACCCAAGTGCAGAGGAGGAAGGCAAGGGCCAGTGGGTGCCGTGGCACAGGGGAGGGTGGCAGAAGTGGACGCCGTGCCAGGTCTCCGGACCCACAGGGGAAATGCGGACCTCCGGGGTGCCCCCTTCCTGCCTCGCCTCCGAACTGGCCAGGGACACAGCTGCAGCACCCTGGGAGACTCTTGTCCTGTCCCTACTTCCTGGATGGAGAGCTGAAGCCACGGAGTTCCTGGACCCTCTGCAGCCCTGTCCCTGATGGTGGCTTCTGAGCCCCCACGTAGGCCCTGAGAGGACACTCCATCCCCGGCCAGTGTGACCGGGGTCCCCTTTTACAGCCCCTTCTCTGGAGTCTGCGACATGTACTTCCCTGCTGCAAGGGTCAGGCCGTGCAGTGAGAACTGTCCTGTTGTCTTTCCATCTTTTCTGCATGTGAGATCCTTTGGGGCCCAAGGCCAGGATGGGCCAGTAGCATGGGAATACCAAAATCCCCACATTTCCCTTAACCCAGTCTCTTCTTGGCAAGGCTGTCTCCCTGCTGGGTACCCTGGCCCCCCAGGGGAGTAGCCGTTCACCCTGGCTGTAACTGAAACAGGACTGCTGGCAACCATCTGAAGCCAGGGACTGAGTCTGAGAGTGACTGTGGACCCCCCACCCAGCTCCAGCCTCTTCCTTTAGCCTTGTATAGAGGCCTCCCTCGCCCCCCGCCCCACACCCGACGTCCACCTCCTGAGTCTCAGGGGCCAGGCAACTGAGAAGACCACCACAAGACAGTGCCTGGCTGTCTCCAGCTGACGTCTTCCCTTGCCTTCCCTCTTCCTCTTCCTCCTCCTCCTCCTCCTCTTCAGGCCCCCCCAGCATCCGGGCGATGCGAAATATCACAGCAGTGGCCGGCCGGGACACGCTCATCAACTGCAGGGTCATCGGCTACCCCTACTACTCCATCAAGTGGTACAAGGACGCGCTGCTGCTGCCCGACAACCACCGGCAGGTGGTGTTTGAGAACGGGACCCTCAAGCTGACCGACGTGCAGAAGGGCATGGACGAGGGCGAGTACCTTTGCAGCGTGCTCATCCAGCCCCAGCTCTCCATCAGCCAGAGTGTCCACGTGGCCGTCAAAGGTAGGCCTCCCAGCCCGCCCAGTTCAGCCCCCTCCAGCCAACCTTGCAGGCGGCAGCAGCAGGCAATCCTGAGTGATGAGGCAGGGTCGAGAGATGGTGGGTGAGAAGCTCCACAGACTGCAGAACAAGGCAGCACTGGCCCCGGGTGCTAGAGGGCTGTGCAGCAGACAGAGGGCAGGCAGGTTACCTCCTGGGCAGGAGGCCCGGTCCGACATGATGAGCTGCGATGGGCCTCTGATGTCAGGACAGGGCCAGCCAGAGATCACCACCGGAAGCCTGGGGTGGAGGGAACCACAGTGAGCCCTGACTCCCTCCTGGGACACAGATGGGACAGCCCAGGCTGCTTTTAAAGCACGGGGAAGGACCTCCCATCTGCTGGTGCTGCGTAAGCCTGAAAGCGCTGCCCAGGGCTCCAAAATCTCCCCCTACCCAGCCCCTTCACCCCTACCTGGCTGAGGTCTGTGTTTCATGCCTGGGAGTACAGCCCTGCAGTGAGCTACGGGCACATGCGTGAATGAATACAGGGGAACAAATGAATGAAGGAGGGAGTCCCGGGCGGCTGGGCCCTAGGCCCTGGGCCTGTGCAGGTGTATGAGTCTTTGGAACCCACAGGCCTGGAACTGTCTAGACAGCTGGTGAGAGGAAGGTGCTGGGTAGGTCGGGGGCAGAATGGCGAGAGAATGGACCCTGTGAGGCAGAGCTAAGGAGAGGTCGGTGGAACCCAGGTGGCTGGGGGTGGGTGGTCACTGAATCCGAGGTGACCATGATGGGTAAGAGCCAGGGTGGGCTGGGGCATTGGGAAAATGAGCAGGCAGCCAGCCTTTGCAGCCTGAGGCTCCGCCACAGCCCGTGGCTGTGCCAGGGAGGAAGGACGGGGCTTCCGGTCTCCAGCCTGCGGTCATTACAATCAGGGCAGGGCTCAGTGTGGAGGGCGCACCTCTGCGTGCATCACTGTCGAACCCCACAACTGCAGCTTACCTAACGCAGGCAGCGCTTCCTCCCCAAATCCCAGGGCAAAGGCTGAGGTCTGGAAAGGCTGAGTAATTTGTCATGTGCAGACAATTTTTCTGGTAACTCCAGAACCAGGAGAAGGGACGGCTTGGGGAGGAATTCTGCCCCCAGCTGCCCTTCAGGGATAAATACAGCATCTGGGACCACCTGGGAGGGGGAGGGGAGGGGATCCTGAGACTCTGAGAGCACCTGGCTTTGGGGGGTTCCCCTCCCCTGGGCGTCTGCATCACCCCCGGGCAGTGGGGAGAGGAGGTTCAGGAGACACGCACCCCTATCCACGTCCTACAGGGACTGTGGGCCCTGGGCTCATGCGAGGGAAGGGAAAAAGGAGATGGCCCCAGCCTGCAGGCACTTCCTTGCTGTAGGACGGTGGCAGTTGAATACGGCCACTGCCGACGGAGAGGTTGGTCTGGAGGCAGGGAGAGTTTGGGGTTAGAGGCAGCATCTGGTTTTGGCCCTTGGAGCATGTGGGGACCATGGGTCATACAGGTGGGAGGGCCGGGGGGCAGGAGGTGAGTGCATCCTTCCCGTGTGCCCGATGCATGCTTTGTCATCCACATTCATCCTTGCCAGTACCTAGGGCCGTATCCTGTGCACCTGCGTACTTACCACCTGTCACAGTGCCAGACAGCCTGTGTGGATAGGTGTGTGTGTGGGTGTGTGTGTGTGTGGGTGGGTGTGTGTGTGTGGCTGACTCTGAGGCACTAGTCCAGGTCAAGTGACTTATGGGAAACCTCACTTTGAGCCCAGAGTACTGGGGGGCCCTGTAGCATCACAGGCCTGGAGAGGAGAGGAGCCCTCCCTGCCCTCCGCTGTTGCACCCCAGTCGGGCTGAGGGCTGTCCTGGTCACCTCTTCAGCCCAGTGTTTCTGCCCAGCCCAAGGGCCTTGCCGTGCCAGCAGGAGCCTCACAGGCCCCTGGCATCCTGGGCACATCAGCGGTAACGGTGGCAGCCAGCCAGCCCGCCTGCCCGGCTGTGCTGTACGGCGCCTGTATCCATTTCCCGTAGAAGCAGGGGACCGAGTGTTCACAGTGTAAACATCAGGTATTAAACCATCTAACCTCTTCGCCGCTCCCCTCACCCGCACGCACCAGCGAGCACTCGGCCGGGTCTGCTGGCTTAAAAGGAAGCAATAACAACAGGGCAGCTGCGAGCTCCAAGGCCTCGGAACATCCTCAGAGCTGCTCAGCTCATCAATTATGCAGCCCCGTTCCGGGAGCGATCAGCCCTAATGAATTGAATCTGATGCAGTCCGTCTCAGCGGCTGGTCGGGCCTGTAGTGCCCCAGCCCAGGGTGGGGGAGGGGGCGGGGTGTGTGAGAGAGCCCATGCCCTGGCCACATGTGTATACCCAGCACCCAACATAAGCTTAGTATCCACAAAGCAGGGTGTGTGTGTGTGTGTGTGTGTGTGTGTGAGAGAGAGAGAGAGAGAGAGAGAGAGAGAGAGAACCATGTGCAGGCTCCCTTCCCCACCCTTGGGTTCTGAAAAATTCCAGAAACCCAGCCCTAGAAGAGGTGTGGTCCCCTCTTTCCTCGCTAGACCACTTGTGTGAGGGGCTCTGGGGTCCCTATGCCCCCACCACTCCCCAAGCCTGGGTCCTTCCTCCCCCTCCGCCTCCCTCCCTCGCCTCATTAGAATGCACTTTTGCAGAAGAACCCATCAGAGCTGATTATGATCACGCTGCTTGATTAGCTGATGCGCTGCTCTTCCAAGAGCTACCCATGGAGGGGGTGGAGGAGGTGCCCTGGGCATGGTGAGGGAGCCCTGGCCCTGGCGGGGGAAGGGAGGGGAAGGGGGCAGCACTGCAGACCCCAGCGCTACTGCCCTGCTGGAAACCGGAGCAGACAGCAGGAGTGCAGGAAAGGGCCAGGTGGGGCAGGACAGGGCCCTGGAAGCCGGAGATAAATTGGAGGTCCCCTCCCCTGACACCTCTCTGTGGAGCCAATGGTTGGTGGGCAGGGAGGGGCAAAAACTATGCAGCTCTGTGAGCTGGAAAAACAACTGCTGACTCCATTCCTTCTGGGACTGCTTGTCTCCTAATGAATTTTTCAAACACTGAGCTGAGAAGCAAACACACACGTGCAGACGCCTCTCTGTGGGTACACGTGCCTGGACATCCTGGCACATACAAGTGTGCACAAGCATCACAGTCGCACAATCACCTCTCCGTGCTTGAGCACACACACATGCATGCACGCCGTTACATATACACAGATGCTCCCAATGTACCCTCCTGCAAGGCACGGTTCCCGAGCCACAAAAGGCGGCTGCAGGTGGGGCCCAGTGAAGCATTGCCCAAGTGAGCTCTCTGTAGCCCGACAAGATGTGAGGGGCACAAGGGAGAGAGGGTAGAGGATGCATTGAGGGCTGCCTAGGATTTGGCACACGTAACGTGGGGTGGCAGGGGAGAGCCGAGCTGCGGGGGGCGGGGGGGTACTTGTCTCTGGGCACAGGGAGAGCTCCTTGGCAGGGTGCTAAGAGGCAGGCACACAGATCCAGCCTGGACTTGGTGACCTTAGGACCCCCTGTAGCTGAAAAATAACGTAGCACAAAAGCATCTCTGGGCACACACGCTGTTTAATTAACTAGGAAGACAGGGCTGCACTGGGTGCACCTTGGCATTGGCTTGGTGAAGAGACATCTCCATCCCTACATCTGAGTCTCCAAGGGTCTCTGGAGCCAAACCAAAGGTGTGAGGTTCTGTGTGCCCGTGCTCATCAGGGCCAGGATCAGGAGGTGGTGCCAGGTCCCTGTGGAGAGCCAGTAGAAAGACACATGCACACACACACAGGCACACACGCACACACATGCGCCTACTCCCTACCCACAATCATTCTCCCCTACTGGCCAGGGCCCAGCGCCATCTAGCCCCTGCCATATCCTGAGAGCCTGTGGCAGAGGCCCTTTCCCACCCTGATGAAGGGGCCGAGGTTTCTGTGGTCGGGGGGCTAGAGAGAAAGCAGGGCACCTGGCCTGCTATTGGCAGAGGTGGAGGTTTGGAAGGAACTCTGCTGGAATCCACAGGAAGAGAGCGCATCAGACTCCATCAGAGGAGATCGCTCGCTACACCTGGGGGACTGGGTACTAAGGAGCCCTGCTTCCCTGGCCAGGGGAGCCAGGAACACAGCAGTAAGAAACTGCCTTACGGGACAGTCAGGACTGGTGAAGTTGGCAGTGGTGATGAAGATGATGACAGTGGTGATGAAGTACCCATTCGCTCATTCATTGGTATTTGCTGTGCACTCACCATATTTGAGGCACTGTACGGCTATGCTCAGAGCAGACAGAAAGCCCGGGCATCAGGGAGCTTATATTTTAGTGGAGAAACACACCATCGTCAAATACATAACAGATGTCCCTTGTCGAAGCAGGAGTGCAAATGAGAGTGCCAAGGCCAGGGGGTGAGGCTTTGTGGTTCTGTATAAGGTGGTCTGGGAAGGGCTTCCCAAGATGAGCGATTCTGTAAGAAACTGAAGTTCATTGCAATTGTTCCTGAATAGGGGACCTGATAAAACTGGAAAATCAGTGTTGGGCTTTCGAGATTACTTGGTCCAACCGCTCCACTTCGCAGATGAAGAAGACCGAGGCTCAGAAAGAGAAGCAAAGAGGGCGGTGAGGAGGCAGCTTGCCCGTCGTGGTCCCTTAAGTGGTAGCAGAGCGTGGAACCCAGCGTCCTGGCCCCCTCTTTCCCATCTCCGTGCTGCACAGAAGCCCTGACTTCCCACGGTGCACTCTGCTAACAGGTGCAATAAATAAAAGGCTCGTGCTCAAAGAGAGTTGATGAGAAACGCCATAAAGCGTTTATGGGCTGGGCTGGTGGTCAGCACACTTCCCCCTGAGTGACACTCCCAAACAAGTGGCCATAAAGACTTTATGGTGGCTGGACTCGGCACTGCATGCACTGTTACAGCCCCAGCAGCCCTGTCAGCCACTGTGTCCTCCAGCCTTTGGGCATCATGAGAGCTTGCTAATGAGGGCCGTGGCCAGAGCAGGGCACCTGAGAGAAACTCCTGGTTGTGCCCCCTACATCCAGGCTGTCTGCTGGCAGAGCTAGGACTTGGGGGCAGGAGGCCCTGGCTGTCACCAGGGTGGAGATGGTCAGAGACCCTGCCTCCTGATGGACTGAGCTGCCCGAGGTAGAGATGGACACACACGTTCCACCAGCCCGTGCCTGTTGGCTGAGCGCTGGGGCAGGCACTGTGCATCACTGGTCAAAGAGCAGCGCTGGGTCTGGGCCGCCGCCGCTTGTGCATCAGGAAGAGTCCCCATGGACTTGGCTTCTAAGCAGGAGCCACATCCCTTAGCTGTCTGCAGGACAAGCAGCCACTGTCCCCTGCCTCAGCCTTGCCCCTCTCTCCCTCATCCCATCTGAATTTTGAAAGCACGTGTGTCCTTTAACTGTCAGATCACCCACCGGTGGGACGGCCCCGTGTGCTCTGAGTTCAGCGTGGTGCTTGTCCAGTCCTCAGGGCGGGAGGTGTCTTCCCCTCCCCAGCAGCTCCCGGAAGCCCTGTCTGTAGTGTGAACATGCTTCTGCTCTCCCCAGCCCACATGGAGCATCACGCCCTCACAGAGCAGGCGTTCCATAAATATTAGATGAGTTAGTTAATTAATGAATTAAACTGCCTTAGTAACTTGCTCTATTATCTAAATCCTTTCTTACTCAGACAGCCTTCCCCTTGCCTGAACCAAGCTTCACTGTCTGACTTCAGCCTGCCTCTAGCCTCTTGCCCTGTGCACAGTGGCAGTGTGGTGCTTTAGCCGTTCATCCACATTGGTGGGGGCGTCCAGGCCTGACAGCCCCCTCCTCCCACCTTCTTGCCTTGCTCATGTGCCCTGCCTTCCGGCCCTTGGTCACTGTCACCACTCTCCCCTCTTGCTCATGGTCATGTGTCCACAGAGCTTTTAAGTCACAGGAGCCAGTTTGATGCTAGGACTTCATAGGCCCGGCCCCTAGGGGGCCCCAGAATTCCAAAGCACAAATACAGCATCTTGGGGAACAGCACAGGGCACCTCCTTACTCTGGGTGAACCCCATCCCCCGTTGTCCCCACCCCTTGCCTGCCTCACTGGTGAGCTTCTAAGGTCATCCCAGGAAATGGCACCCAGACCCATGTTCATTCGCTTTGCTCATCCGACAAGCATTTATTGGGTGCCTACGATTTGCCAAGTAAATAAGACCTGGTTCTACAACTCCAGCTCCCAGCACCAGTGGGTGGTGATACAGCTGACCCATGGTAAGTGGAGTGGAGCAAGATGCCTGCCAAGGGCTGGAGGAAGGCGGGCTTCACGGAAGAAGTGGCATTTGGGCAGATCTGAAAGGACTCCTCCAGGCCCAAGGAGGCAAACTGGGTGGCAGCTGTGGGTCTTTGCAGCGAGTCCAGCAGAAAGCCTAAGAAGCCCAGAGGCCTAGAGCTGACCTGGGCATGCACACACTGGGGGGGGGGGGGGGGACCCTCAGAGGCCCAACAAGAGGACTCTCTGGGACTGGGCATTGGGCCATTGCTAGAGTCAAGGTTCCAGAGGAATCCATCTGAAGATGTCTAAGGGCCAACAAATATGGGGGGTGGGAGGCAATGGCTCATCCCAGGGGGAGAATGACAGCCAGAGATGGGAATGAGGAAGTCCTGACAGCGACCAGAGCCCCCGAAGCCAAGTGTATCTAGAAGAGGCGGAGGCAAGCCAGGCAGGCGGGGACAGGGACAAGTGGTGAGAGACAGGAAGCACGGTGTCCAGCTGCGCTCACCCAGGCAGGCTACGGCGTGGCGCTGCGGGTGGCTGTGGTGCACTGAGGGAGCCCGGGGCTGGACTGAAGGAAGGTGGGAGATGACAACGGAGGCCCTGCTGAGGGTCACGGAGGCAGCGTCCCTGAGACCTAGAAGTCTCGGTCAAGAACTGGCCCAAGGATCCACAAGGCAGCAGGAGGGGCTTTTCTGTGTCCAGCGTTGCCCACTCCCCACAGACAGCATCCTGCTGAGCACTGAAAGCCCTGAAGGTGCAGGGGGCACCCGGAGCCTACACTCTCCCTTCCCCTCCCCTTGGGGGGCTCATCCCCCACGGTGGCCATCCTAGGTGGCCCTGGGGTGGAGAGAAGCAGGATCCCGAGGAGCTGGGGCTGGAGCCTGGGAGGAGGCCAGAGGACTTCTGCGGGCCTTGTAATTGAATTACTTGACTACAGAAAGGCGATCCCACGCCCAAGGTGCTCAGCCTTGTTAAGCCGATTGTCTGTCTCCTGCACCGGCTTCTCCTCCACTTGCTAGGGAAGCCGCTGCAGCCTAATTGAGTTATCATAAAGATAATGGCTGATGCTCTAGCCTGAGCCCAGAAGGGAGGGTCCATCTCCAAGCAACAGGACCCCAGGGGCTAAGCGGCAAGGGAGGAGGGGTGGCAGCAGCTCCAAGGGGAGGGAGGCTGAGCAGACAGAGCTTTGCCCAGGTGAATATGAACACCTGACCGTAGTGCAGACCACAGAGCTCCCTCTCTGCTCGTTCCTCCCACTCACTCATGAGACCAAAGGGCCTCTGGTCTGGGCATTTTGGGGGCTATCTTCAAGAGTCCCCCCAAACAGCTGCGTTGTTAAGTAGCAGCTTGAGATGCCTGCTTTTCACTGCTGAGTGCCGGTTCCAGTCCCAGCTGCTCCACTTCCCATCCAGCTCCCTGCTAAATGTGCCTGGGAAAGCAGCAGAAGACAGCCCACATGCTTGTGTTCCTGCCACTCACATGGGAGGCCGGATGGAGTGCCAGGCTTCTGACTTCCACCTGATTCAGCCCTGGCCATGGTGGCCATTTGAGGAGTGAACCAGTGGATGGAAGATTCTCTCTCTCTCTCTCATGCTCTCCCTTCCAAATAAATAATTCTTTTTTTTTTTAAAGAGAGAGCCTAGATGTGGAGAGCAGATGATATTTCAAATCCTGCCATCACCTCTTTTGAAACCTCAAGCGATGCCTTCTCTGTTCTGAACCTCAGTTTTCTCTGCAAAGTGGGGACCGTCAAGCCCATGTCATGATATGAGGCAATGTCTATAGAGCGAGTGAAGTGACCAGGGGTGTGAGCCTCGCCAGTGCCGACACCTGATGACAGTGCACAGGGGCAGGGCAGGAGGTGGCCCCTCTGTTGGGGGAGATCTGAAAACAGCATCCCAGGTGTAGACCAGCAGCTACGGGGCACACGTGGGGACCATCTTCTCACCAGCCTTCCTCTCTTGTCACCTGGACACGTTATCTCTAGTCTATCCCAGGCCCCCAGAGAGCTGTGAGATGAATCTCTGGGATGAGAACATGGGCACAAGCTGAGAGTGGGTCAGCAGGTGGGTAGATGTCAAGACACACATGATTCAAGTTCAAGGACAAAGCTGAAGGTCAGAGTTAAGGTCAGCCCCACAGGGGCAGTGGGTTCAGGCCTAAGTGGGCAGGGACAGGAGCCAAGCAGGGCCCCCCGGTCCCTCTGGGAGTCACTGGATACACAGGAGCCAGGGGAGCCCTAGTTAAGGCCCGCGCTGGGGCCCAGGGCTGCCCAGAACCCCACGGCAAGGCAACCGGCTGGGCTGGGGCAAGTGGGGGCCTGACAGCAGCACCACTGCCTTTCCAGTGCCCCCTCTGATCCAGCCCTTCGAGTTCCCGCCTGCCTCCATCGGCCAGCTGCTCTACATCCCCTGTGTGGTGTCCTCGGGGGACATGCCCATCCGCATCACCTGGAGGAAGGACGGACAGGTGATCATCTCAGGCTCGGGCGTGACCATCGAGAGCAAGGAGTTCATGAGCTCCCTGCAGATCTCCAGTGTCTCCCTCAAGCACAACGGCAACTACACGTGCATCGCCAGCAACGCCGCGGCCACTGTGAGCAGGGAACGCCAGCTCATTGTGCGCGGTGAGTGGGACAGGGCGCCGCAGGGGAGGGAGCTCTGGCACTGCCTTGCTGCTGGGGCAGTGGTCTAGGTCTCCAGTTTGAATCACGGGCTTATGGAAGGTTGGCTCCAGCAGGGCCCCTCAGGATCAAAGGGGCCCAGCATCTCATTTTCCAAGTCAGCAAACCGAGGAGACACTTGCTGCATTAATCATTGTCAAAGGCAAGATTGGAACTCAGAACCCCCAGAGCTCACCCTCATATTCCGCATAAGCTCTCAGCTTCTTGGATTTCAGAAGCTGCCTACTCCCCACTTTACAGTGGTCCAGCCAGGAAGGGCTGGCGTGGAGTGCAAGGTGCCTGAGCCTGGGACACCTGTCAGGGACTGAAACACCTTTTTCTCCGCCACTTCCTCTCTCCACAGTGCCCCCTCGATTCGTGGTGCAGCCCAACAATCAGGACGGCATCTATGGCAAAGCTGGTGTGCTCAACTGCTCGGTGGATGGCTACCCGCCGCCCAAGGTCATGTGGAAGCACGCCAAGGGTACGCTCTGGGCCCAGCCAGCGTCTGCAGGAAGGGCAGGGGAGGGGGCAGAGGAGGACACTCTGCTGGACTTGGGCCTGTTCACTAGCCCTGGGTGGGTGTCCTAGGACCTCAGTCACCTGACCCCAGGCTACCTCGATCTAGGGGTCATCCTCAGTCGCCCCCAGGGATCTGCCCTCTTGCTGATTCCCAACATCCTCTGCTCCCCACAGACTTGCCCTCCCCCGTCCACCTCCGGCCCAGACTTGGTGCATGTGCACCACCTGCCCTCGCTGCCACAGCCTCATTGCCCTGCTTCTCAGTCAACCTGCTGTGGGCTCGGGATCCTTCTCAGAGCCCAGCTGCCTCCCAAGGCCCCACTGGGTGTCTGCCCAAGCCTCACGTCCTAGGCTGTGTCCACTGCTGACCCTGTGGGTGGGAGGAATGCCCCCAAGCCCTGCTTGGAGGAAGTCTGGCCTCTCTGCCTGTGGCCAAGCCGCTGCCATTTGAAAGCTCAATCTTCTCTCCGCCTGTTCCCAAGTGGCCCAAAAACACCTCTTGCTTCTTCTCCAAGGAATTCACCCCCCCAAGCAGCTCAGGGCCAAGGTGGCACTGAACAGAGGCCCAGACCCCAGCTGCACACCTCTGTCTCTCCCACGCCCAGCAGGAGACACGTGGCTCCAGCATTTTGACAATGGCACAGGCTGTGCTGCAAAACGACCCTAGATGGGTGAGAGAGGGGAACCAGGGCGGTTCCTCTGGCCCTCCAGTCCCACCTGGTACCCTCCCTAGGCAGAACTCCAGTGCTCCTAACCGCTGCCTCCTTCCAGGGAGTGGGAACCCCCAGCAGTACCACCCGGTGCCGCTCACCGGCCGCATCCAGATCCTGCCCAACAGCTCGCTGCTGATCCGCCACGTCCTAGAAGAGGACATCGGCTACTACCTCTGCCAGGCCAGCAACGGCGTGGGCACCGACATCAGCAAGTCCATGTTCCTCACCGTCAAGAGTGAGTCCTGCCCCCCGCACGGCACCCCCAGCTGCCCCGCCACAGGCCCGGCCCCTCTCAGCATCCTCCCTGCCTAGCTCGTTGGTTCCCAGGGCTCTCCCTAGCGTGGGACCCTCTGAGAGGGACGTTCAGACGCCCTCTCGTGGGAAAGGAGGGCCTCGCCCCCCAGCACCCCGCCCATCACGATTTGCTCCTGGTTGTCTGCCCTGAAATGCACCAGGGCACCCCATTTACTACGATCTGTAGGCTGAACACACACATCAAACAGCTTGTTTCTGCCACATTGTATAAACCTGCTTGCGTCCACTCTGTGTATGGCTCAGAAAGGAAGGCCCCAGATACACAGCATAAGAGAAAGTCTTACTGTTGGAAAGCCTGGGCTGCCGTCCCTGTCTGCCCACTGGGCTGTGCCACCTTGGGCTAGTCACTTTGCCTCTCTGTGCTCCATTTTCTTCACCTGTGCTTGAGGTTCACTCCCAGCCCATCCACCCCACAAAATTGCTGTGACCAGCACAGGAGCTACCAACGGGAAGAGAAAGACGTGTTGGAAAAAGTCAAAGATGTAATGTGTCACATCTCTGTAGCCGGTGCTGTGTCTGCACCTTCTCAGTCCCTGGACCAGCGCTGGGGATTATCATTCACGGTTCCAAGTCACAGCACACTTTCACAGGGGGCCAGGTAATGGGAGAAGAACGGCGGGTCAGGGAGTGGGCCCCACGCTGTGGCTGGCGGCCCTTGCATGAGAGCCCGAGTTTTCCCGTCTGGCCCAGTCCCCTGTGAGTCTGGGGCCCTTGGCTCGGTGGCTGCATGACCCTGGTGAGCCCGCTGGGTTGCACAGATCTGCAGGCTGCTGAGTGTGGGCGTCAGAACAGTGCCCTTCGCGTCTCCAGAGCAGGGCAGATCCCGTGTAGTCCCGCAGCCTGCTGTTGCAAGGGCGCTGCCCCGGGGTGGCATGGGGAGCTTCCTGCAATGGGGCCCGCTGTGCGTGAGGCCCTCCCCGTGCCCCCAGGGCCCCGTCCTGGAAGAATCAGAGGTCTTCCGCCTGCGCCGGAGCCCGGAGCGGAGCACCGCTCACGGCAGGGAAGCCCCGGCGAGGCGGCGATCGATCGCTGCTCAGGGAGCTCCGGGCCGGAATCCCCGCCCTGGGGAACCACTCGCCTCACACTATCAAAAAGCACTTTGTCCTTAATAAAACCAGACAATCAATCTACATCCCTCGGCCCGGCAGGGCTCGCTGCTGCCGCGCCTCGCGGGAGGCAGGGGTGGGGCGGGCGCCTCGGGAGCCAATCAGGTCCTTCTCCCCTGGCCGCGCCTGCCAGGCTCGCCCCAGACTTGCTCCTGTCTTTGCTCTTTCTCTGTAAGTGAGGGGTTCTCGCCGGGCCAGCCTAGCTGCCGGATCTGTGGCTTGCAGGTTCTCCGTGGAGATGAGGGGACACGGGTGACGGAGGGCGCAGCAGTCAGGAGGTGGGGAGCCAGGCTGTCCGTCCTGTACCGGCGCGTCCTGTTCCGAGGGGCCCTGGGCAAGTCCCTTTCCTCCGCCATCCTCACTCGCAGCCCAGGCAGCGGCCGTGAAGCACTGGGGCGTTAGGAAAGGGCACGTGTTATGAACCCCCCCCACACACACACACACATGCTCCCTCTTCCCAGGGAGCTCCCCGCCTCACTCCCTTGCTCCCATGTCCCCACGCCAGCTGCTCTGTCACTGGCTCCTGCCTCTCTCCCCAGCAGGGCCCGCGGGCCTCCTCTCTTGCATCTGCTCCCATCCCAAGCACCTCCGGGTAACATTGTCCCACTCACTGTACCGCCTGGCCCTCTGTCACACAGCCTGCTCCGAGGCCGCCTCCCAGCCGCCCCCTCACACTCCCTGTGTTCCTCACACCCTTCCTCTATGGCCAACACCCCATCCATGCCAGCCCCCAGGGACCTGCCCTGGCCAACCCAGCAGGAGAGGGGGAGGCAGGCCCTAGGACGTTTGAGGGCTGGGTATGGCAGGGCCTCCGTCCGACAATGACCCTGTCCAGGGCCTGGGGGTGGGGCTGCCGCACTGGGTGGGGCCTGGCCAGCCCCAGAACTTCCATTCTGCCCCTGCCTCTGTGCTTCCAAGTCCTCAGGTCTCCTTGCTGGCCGCCAACCAGGCCCTGCTGGCCCCAGGGTAGCTTGACGGACTCCTGGCTTGGAGGAAAGAGCTCAGAGTGAGAATGAGGGCCCAGAGGCTGCTCCCAGCCCTGACCCACTGGCTGTATCTCCTGAGCTGTCCCTTCCTTCTCCAAGCCTCAGTTTCTCATCTGTACAACAAAGAGGCCGGGCGTAGACTCCAGGCCCTGGCTGACTCCAGCTCAGAGCAGCTGTGGGTCCAGCAGCATGCGTGGTCTTTGCAGGCCACCTGACTGCCTCCCAGAACTTGGTGGAAAATAAATGTAATTAACAGAAGAAAATACCACGTCCACAGAGCTGCCTTTTATCTCCCTTTTAAAATATAAAACAGAGAGATAATGACCATGAGGAGGGGGAGGCAGTTCCTCCTCCGACGGACACATGGGAGAAAACTGAAGCATCTTCAAAGTGGCTCTTCAGCGAGAGGCAGGTGCACAGCCATGCGGCTGAGGCGGAAGACGGCTGGCTGGGTTTTGATGTCGCCACGGAGTGGCAGTGTCTCCCGGGCCCCCCGCCCCCGCCTCCAGCAGGTGACCTTATTAGGCGGGTCCTGGCACCTCCCCCAGATGCTTCTCCACTTTGTGGAGGCTCCAGCCATTGGGCCCCAGACAAAGCCCATGGCCAATTAAACGCATAAGGGCTCTTTGTTGGTTTGAGTTTTGATTTGTTTGTTTAGCAAAATGTCAGACCAATTAAAGGGAGAGCCAAGAGCCCTCAGCGAGCAGCACCCTGCCACAGCCACAGGAAGTCAGGCAGGAGGGAATGGAGGCAGACTGTCCTGGGGGCCGAGGGAGGGCAAGGGGAAGCCGCTGGGCGCCGGCAGGCTCGGCCACCTGCCTTGGCTGGCCATTCATACCGAGGTCAGGAAGTAAAACCCTGGATGAGATGGCTGTGTGTTGGAAACCCTGCCCATTCCCAAGGCAAGGAGCGTAAGGACGAGGCCATCCACAGCCCCAGAGCTCTTCCTAGGCCACGCTGCTGGTGCAGGGAATTCCCTGCATTGATGTCCAAGGTCACTTCTGCCATCAGTCCTGCTGTGGACCAGCCCTGCCACCAGCATGACCATAGATTGAGGGATGGCTGTCCACAGGGCAGGGGACTGGATCCTGGATCAGGAAGTCCACACACACACTCATCATGCCCCTCAGCACAGATGAGAAACAGACAGAGAGAAGCCACGTGTCCAGCCCAAGCTTTGCTGGTGTGTCCCCTGCTGTGGGTGCTGTCTCCTCACCAGGCAGAAGCCCCATGGAGGCTGGGGCTGGTCCTGTCCTTCCTGGATAGAACTCCTGCACATAGCACCCAGCTCTCCACAGGTCTCTGTCCACTGTCATTCTGTGCTGAGGACTGGCCTGCCAACCAGCCCCCGGGCTGTAGGGCTGATCTCATCACATCTGGGGTCACAGGTCATAGGTCATGTCCTCAGCTCTTCTCCACCCATGAGTCCCCTTACTGGGTGAGGGGTCAGGGACAAAGACTCTACTGGACGTGCATATGGAGTGGGAGTGGGAAGCAGAATATGTGGGCCTCCAGTCAGACTGGCTGGGGCTGGGCTGGAACTGGGGTTTGGCCCTGCCATAGCTGTGGGCTTTGGGGGCTGTTTCCTGCCCTCTCTCCCTGGGTGGTGGTCATTAGTCACAATCCTTCCTGACCCATGCCAAGCCAGGCGATCCTGTGTGCAGGTGGGCCCAGCCTCCCCAGCCACTGGTGCAGCTGTGGGGTGGGGGTGGGGTGAAGAAGAGGGAGCCATGGTGATGATCTCCATGGCAATGCTGATGCAGCTGGTTGTTGGGCCTCTTGACTTGCAGACTTCATTGACTAAGGAGCACTTTGTCTCCTGCGTCATCAAACAGAGAGCAGGAGAGAGGCTGGACACATCCTCTCAGCGGCAGGCTCCCCACTGCGGCCCCCACTTACAGGAACAAGGAGCCAGCAGGCCTGCCTGGGCCCTCACCAGAGCATTTGCAGCCCTGGGCTAGCCCAGGCCTTCCCCATCCCCGCAGGGCTCAGGGAGGCCAACCTGAGGAGTGCATTTAGAGGACAGGAAAGCCTTGGCCAGGGAGCCGCAGTCCTGTTCTTGTCCCAGTGTCTCCCACTCTGCCCTGGGTGAGCTGGGGCCTGCCACCGTCTGCCAGGGCCCTGGTTTGCTCCCGTGTTCAGAGAGATCGTAGTCCTCTTCCCTCCCCCCTTGGACAGGACAAAACAAGGGGTTTGCATTCATTGTGCCAGTGGAAACCCAAGGGCACGCACTGCCGGTTCTCCAGGTCCCATGTGTCAGGAACTGTAGCCCTTGGTGTTTCGGGGTGTAACAGAGAGATGAAGCTGTGTTTGAGTGGCTGAAACGTGGGAGGTCCTACTGACCTCATGACACCTCGCTATCAACAGGTCACATCCTGAATTCAGCCCCAAAGGAGGCCTTTATGCCAGAGATTCAAGGTAGACTAAAGCAGTGTCCTAGGGGAGAGCCCCTTGCCTGGCCCCGCCTCTTGTCACCATAGCAACTCAGGTCCTCTGGTGACCCAGAGAGGTTTGGTGGCAGGGCTAGGAGGGCTGCACCTGCCTGAGCAGCCTCCACGCCTAAAACAAAAGTGCTCATCCTCAGGAGTCTCCTGGGCCCCTCTATCACCACCGCTTCACCCTCACCCTGCGGTCCCACGGCTGCTGCAGTGCTGAAGGGTGTCTATTGAGTCTGGGCTCTGGGCGATCATTCAGGGCAGATTGGATGAATAACAAAACAACGTGCCTTGTCCATGGTCAGCACAGGTAAAGGGAGCAGTCAACAGGCCGAGACAGAAGACGTGCCAAGGCTCTCCCTGGGGGAGCCAGGTTAATAGCGAATGCAGGCG